GGCGCTGTTTGGGCGTGAGCTCGTAAAAAAGCGAGCCGGCGGGGAGCGTATCTTGCAAAATGAATTCTGTACTCGTCCATCACAAAGTCCCTTCCGGCCATCAGATGCGCCACCAGGCACTTCCCGACAGGCTCTCGCCCTGGGAATAAGGTGAGACAGTTCCCAGAGGCTGCATTATTCATCGGGGGAGGTTGGAAGGCAGCTAGCCGCAGTGCTGTGCGACAGGAAGTCGAACTGGAGCTGCATGTATCAATTTTTTTCACATATCGGCTGGTTTAATAATCAACCCTCTCCTAGTCTCAGAAAACCCAGGGGTGTCAAACTTGGCTGTTATTTTATGAAGCTCTGGGCGGGAAAACAACCAGCTTTGCTCTGGAATGGGGGCCCTTTCCCAACCCTCAGAGGGAGGCATTTGTATTGTGGTGGCTAGAGAAACTAGCGGCGGTTCAAATCCTGTGCCTTCCACTCACGTGTCAGTTGATTTGGTGAAATTGCTGATTCTCTGAGGCTGTTTCCCCTACTATAAAGTGAGAAAGATAGTCATATTTTCCAAATAGGACTGTCATGAGCATTGGATGAAATAATAAAATTATGTTTCTAAAGTGCCTGGCACATCACAGGGGATCAGGAAATATTTGTCCTGTGGGAGTTTGATTCACTCTGACTGGCCCTATGGCAATCCTGTGGGTGATGCAACTCAAGTTCCCCAAAGCCAAAAACAAAGCAACCAGGATTTGACCGCAGTCTTCCAAATTAACGAACTTTCACAGTTTCATCTCAGGTGAGAGCCCCCACGCCCCTCCAGCCCTTCAGGACTTCCTGCTGACACAGCCTCACCCAACTAGTCAAGTCCAAAGTAACTAGACAGGATCTTCTTCCTATTTTTTGAGGTGGTATTATATAAATCAAGACCCAGATTTTTATATGAGTATGTGCAAAGGGCTTCAGGCAATTCAACAGTATTCATGAAATCTATTGTGTATGGCTTGAAAATAAATGTTTTGCTATCACTTAGAGGTTACAAATGAAAAACAGATGGCCTCATCAAGGGAAAAACGGCCACTTCCTCTCTGGCTCCAACTCTGCCCTATTGCCTTCCTTCAAAAGGTTTCCTTTTCATCTAATAATCCTAATTGGGCAAAGCCTTCCATAGCTTTGTAAGGAAGCTGATATCAAACCATCCATCTTGAAGGGAAAGGCAATTGATATTTACTGAGCGTGACTGTGAACCAGACACCATGCATAGCCTCGCCTCATTTGATTCTCAAGGTGGTTTGAAATAAGTATATTTTGCACCATTTTATATAAAAAAGAAAATTGAGATCAAGCAATTTATCCTTTAGTCCTTCAAGAGTAACTGGCAGATCCCGAAGTCCAAAGCCAGTGACAGTCGTGATGAGAAGAACTTTGTAGCTTTTGCAAACAGATATGAAATTGGAAATGGGCAAATCTCATAAGCTCCATTAGAGATCATCAGTGAAACAGCACGGCAATGAGAAGAGAAGCCTTTTACTAAAACGCAAGAAATACCGTTTCAGTCAGCCGTTCGAGGTCACGGACTTTCCAGTCTATAACCAACCGTGCCTGGCCGTGAGTTGTCCATCACCACACAGGGAAGTCCCCCACAAAGCTAAATACTCAAACTCTCGATGGGCCACATTTTGGCCGAGGTTGAGCTGGTTTCTCCAATTCGCTGTTGACATCCCTACAGTTTATTCAGAGCTTGAGAAAAATAGTCAGTAGTGCTCAAACTGGTAACTTCAAACAGCTCACAGTTAAAGAACCTCTGCCGAATGCTTTGGTGGCCACTAATGTGTGGATGTGGTTTTATGTCTGTGAAATCATGAGCAAGCATGGTATCATTGGCAAAAATGTTTGAGGACCATCTTTAACATCTGTTTCTTTTGGGTTTATTACTTGAATGTTCTTGGACGATGTGTGATCACACTGGTATTTGAATAAAATATGTCAAAAGAAAAAAAAAAAGAAAGAAATACCAAGCACGGTCTACTTTCACCCCAAACCCAAACCCAGGCTCCATGCATTGCAGTTTCTAATCACCAGGGGGTGGCCTGAGACCCAGACTTACTAAATAAAGAAATCCTAATTCCCCACCTGTAACTCTTATCAATTTTCTCTCTTTTTTCTTTTTTGATGTTTTAAAGAGTAGCTGATTTGGGAAAAGACATAGATGGGTGTGACTCTTTCACTGGGAATTTCTTAAACTGATTTCCCAAAGTCCTTAAAAGACAAGCTAACATTAGTGCCAGGATTGACAAAGGTTTTGTTTTTGAACCATGACCTTATTACAGAATACACAAGTGATTACACCAAGGGTGTGTGCTGTCACATGACCCCATTTCTATTTTTAGCTACCTGCACAGGAGAAGCAGCCCTGACCGAGTGACACACACACCGTCAGGAAAGTCAGAATGCTTGGGGAATTCTCATTTCCAAGAAAATACTTCCAAGTCCAAGAAGTTCCCACCCAGTCTGCTCCAGGACTTAGAATCAATGTCTGGGAGAAGAAAACTTGGAAAACAGATTTTTGCAGGGAGGGTCAGGGCTCTTTACATTCAGTCCCAACCTTTCATTTCTCTCTGATCCTGTCTGAAATGAGGGCAGCTGCAGAGATAGTAGGACTGGGAGTGTGGTGGGAAGCCTCCTGCAGACCCCTTTGCCATCCCATTTTCCCCTTCAAACCCCTAGTGACCTTAAAGATGATCTGGTTCTCTTGATGTCTGAAGAATAACTGGCTCAGACAGGCTGCCTTGTTCAGGGTCACACAGCTTACTAATGGTTTTGCTTTGAAAGTCCAGCTTCAGGATTCCAAAATGGGGGGCTCTTTGCACCTCATCACTCCCAGTCAACATACTCTCTTCACGCTGTCAGGTATGTTCTTGGTGGATCATTCCATTTGACAAAGATTTGAGGACTTTGACAGGATATTCAGTTTATGCAGTTCCTGCCCAGAGTGTGTGTGTGTGTGTGTGTGTGTGTGTGTGTGTGTGTGTGTGTGATTGCAAAGTGTTAAAAAACCCAAATCACAGTGCACAGACTCTTTAGACTGAAGAACAACTTGTTTAGATAGATGACAAATAGATTTTTCAAATATACAGACTTTTGAGGTTTTCTTTAAATATGAAATGCAAGTCAAAGATTTTTTTTAATTCCTAGAGGCTTTTTGTCATCCATAAGATACAATTACACAGTACAATTATGTGGATATCTTGGGATTTGACATTAAAATAGTTATCAAAGTTATATAGTTCTCATACCTGAAACCTGTCAATTGTGCCTAAGCCTTTGTGTTACTCCTTATATTTATATATTTTAAAAAAAATCAAGGGTACTTTTAGCAAAACTGACACCAACCGCTTAATTCTGGCGATGCAAAGAGGTTTAGGGACAGGAGTTACTCTTTTAGTGACCCTCAAATCAAATCGTGCCGATTGACCTCACCTTTTAGGAAGCCTGTCCCGCCTCGTCCACCTGCAATACTAAGTCCTTCCTCTGGGGGAGCTGGTGGTATTAGTGATATTGGTTTGTATGGCTTTCTCCATGGCCCTTCATCCCAGTTCTCTAGCTGCCATCTCTCCTTGTCACCTTCCTCCTGTAGCTCACCCTCCCCCTTACCCCCATCTGAGGCCATTTACTTTCCATGATTTCAGCAGACTTTCTGAGGGCAGGGGTGAAAGATGTGGTTCCTAGATCAAAGCTACAAAGCTACTGGCGGGGGTATCGCTTGCTTCAGTTCTCACTCGAACAGGAAGGCCGCTGAGTTCCACCTACTTCTGCACATGACTAGCTGCTCATGAAGCAATACTTGCTGCTCAGGGTGGGGGCAGGAGAGGAAAGCTTTGAGGTTACCAAAAGGAAACCGCCCAGAAGTTCCCCTTGCCTGGCAAACTTAGGACCATCCAAGGCTCACCACCATACCTCTAATTAGATCATGAATCTCAGTAGGTTATTAAGTAAATCACTCTCCCAGCATTAATGTAAGGCACTCAGCAGCACTCAAGATCGAAGCCTGGTATTAATTTCCTACTTTTCACTATTTCCTCTCCCAATTAAAGTGTAAGTCCCTGGACAGCAGAGATGATGCAAAATGCCCCGGTATAGTCTTACCACAGAAATGAAACGGAGGGGATGGTTTGGTCAAAAGGTGCCTGCTGATGAAAATCAGTTAAGATAGAATATTTTGGTTTCATAATGAACACTCAGTGGCTTACATGATGAAAAACTAAACACAAAAGAGAATGGTGATAATGTTTAATGGCTTACAGCTACAGTATACAGTTTGATATGTATATATACATGTATAAATATAGTTACAGGCCATAAATATCCATATAGCAAAGGATCTGCCTCTAGTAACACAAACACACACACACACAAATCTTTCCAACTAAATAAACTAATGCCTTAAGTAATACTGAAGAAAAATAGATGAGGTAATTTTTTTATCTAAAGTGGCTATAGTCTATATTAAAACATTCTTACTATAAGAGTTCAAGTAGTTATAAAACTTGTCTCATAACCCAAAGCTGTAACTTCAATATACATTTTTAAACTAAACCAAAAATATTTTAATATAAATAGGTAAAATAAATAAGATTATTCTTGCTGAAATTCAATCATCACTTTTTTTTTTTTTTTAAGATTTTTATTGGGGAATTGGGGGAAGGGGAACAGACAAGTTACTGTCCTTTTGTTCTTCAGTCTAGTTGTGGAGGACGTTGTTTCACTAGCCCAAGTTGGCACCATCATTGTGCTCTTCCCGGGCGAGGCAGGTCAGTCGCGGGCTTCTGGACGGCTGCTCACGCTGGCTGCTGGCTACATACGGTAGCCCATGGCAACCCACTGCAGCAGGGGCTGCAGCCTATGCCGTCGCTGGCGACTCACGGCAGCCCAGCTCCAGGTTGAGCTGTTGTTCAGCATCTTAGCTGTAGAGGGCAGTGTCACTGGCCCTCATATGTGGGATCCGAACCGGAGCCCTCTGGCGTCCCAAGCCAGCTCTTAACCATCGTGCCACTCGGCCGGCCCCAATCATCACTTTTTTTAATATATATTTGGGGACTTTGTTGATAGTGTAGCCTTTTAATTAAAACAAAAAAAAATGCATGAAATCCTTCTCAGAATCTACATATTATTCTAATGCAAAATTTATATTCATGTATATAAATGGGATTTTCATTCTGGATGAGCAATCTGTTTCCCCCACCCTTTTTTTTTAAAGTACATCCCAAACATGAAAACATGCTTAATTTCTCTTAAAAGATCAATATTCCTAGGATACACACCGACTAATAGGAGAAAGGGAACTTGAGATTTTAGAAACTAGATACATTCATTTTCTTATAGTTACTTTACAATATTTGTTTTACTAAGTTTTAACTACAGCAGTAAGAAGTTGAATTCGCTTTTTTAAAAATTATTATTCCTGGTTATGTAAATTCCCCACGCTCTTTATATTTTAATATTCAACCCACAAGAATGTTTCTGGCACCAAGAAATACTCTTATAACTTCTATCAAATTTTTTCAAATTACATACTTTTTAGTTAAGGCTCACAGGGGCACATTTACTGGAAGTTCACCTGAACAGCAGTAATACATATTAAAGTCAAAAGAAACAAATTATGGAAATTATTTTCTATTTTGTAGTGGCCTATGAAATCAACATTCATTATGACATTCAGTGTTCTCAGAATAAAATTTTTACTTTTAACTAGATAATATATATATAAACCAGACATTACACATTGTTCTAGGGTTGTCATCTCCAAGTAGAAATAAACACTGAACATATTCTATTTCTTGGACCCTGTCCACATTCTCATCATTTTGTCAATTCCTCTCCCACTACACTGGGCAGCAACCTCCAGCAAAAATACTAGAACAATTCTCTAAGCAAAAACAAAACGTATAAACAATTCTTTCTGTATTCTCAAAGCTCTTCAATTTTTGCTTTAAAATAAACAATGTGGTTTGATAATGTTCTTACATTCCCAAAGAATGACTTCTGGGAAACCTCTAGTAGAAATTCATTGTGATGTATCCCATCTTCATTTCCAAGGGCAAGTGAGAGCTCCTTCCCATTCTTCTCCATTATAAGGCAGTCTCTCCTCTAACTGCTGAAATATGCACCTGCTGGGGAATCTCATTTTAAAGGAGTCTCCTCATCAGAAGGCTTCAGCAGCAGTCAGGTTCCTGAGCGGAAGAGCTTGGATATTAGATTCAGAAGTTTCTGCCGGAAACTCAGTTTGTCTCCAATTCTTCTGAGTTGCATGGCACACTCCACTTCAAGCTCTGAAAAGGAAAGCAAAACATCAGCATTGCACTGACAACATTCCAAACTGTAACCAGCGAGAGTGACAAGCTGCATATGTATCCCGGGAAGCGTTTCTCTTAACCTTAGCTTGACTACACCTGTTTTCTTAATGTGAGATCGAAAACGCACCCGCACGTGACATAAACTGAGACACTGTGACTCATAAACCAAAGAAAAACTAGTTAAGGTAAGAATAAAGACATTTACTTTGAAATCTTTTTTTTTTTTTTAAGAATCCTGGATGAGGCAATTGTGATGTTATCTTCAAACACAAAGTTTTAATATATCAAATGCCACCGAGTTGGTAAGACTTTGCAGCCTCGGGTGATGTCATCCTTTTTTCTCTCACTTAAGGTTGGTTGGGGAACTGAAGTCAAAATGTAAACTTCTTTTTTCAACGGCAATAACGCAAGCTCAGATTATGCCCTCATTTATAGGCAAATCTAAAGGTATGCTTTTCCTCATTTAAAAAAAACTCTAAATTTTTCTCATAAAAGACTTACAAAATCATACTCTAAAATTAAGCCCACATTCTCTAAAATAATTTATAAGTTTAAATTTTACTCTAAACCAAATTCTTCCTCCAAACCCAACCTCTACCAATCCACGGCCTTCACGGAGACGAGTGAAGCAGAAAATAAGTAATACTTAATTCACACATTTACTACTTTTTAGGATAGAGATATTGTAATTAACTGAATATTAATTTAAGAAAAATACTGCTTATCATCTAATTTCCAAGTAAATTTTTTAAGGAAGCGAAATTAACACCAAATCTATACTGACCATTCTTTCAATGTCTTGGATATTTCAATGAGCAACTCAGGGTCTTTTGGTCCAATTCAAGATATCACGATCATGAACATTAAAAGTCATTATGACTACAAATTGAAATCTGGTTTATTTTGTAAACTGACCCTGCAGAGACCCTGTTTAGGCTCAAAACAAAAAGCTGTAAACGTATAATAAAGTGTATTTTAAAATCGAAATTTCAACCAATTTCTCTCTCTACAAGAGCTGGGTAAAATTTTCATAATCTCTAACAAGAGACCCAATGAATATTATAAGGTGCCATTCTTTATAGGTTACAAGTCAAACATTTTGAGAGGTATTTACAGAGTCATGTTCTTTTCAGTGAGTGAGATATAATAACCTGCCATCTTAAAAAAAAAAGTTATTCTGCATATAACTTTGGAAGCCCTGAATTATAAGAAGAAAAAAATTAGCCCTCTCATTCCCTCCCCTCAAAAGGCAGGAAATAGCTCCTATTCGTTTCCTTAATCTTTTTGTTACAATTACACATCTATAAATGTACTTTAAAAATTGTAACTATGTGTGGTCATGAATGCTAACTTACTGTGGTCATTATTTCACAATAGTATATACATATATCAAGTCATTATGCTGTACCCCTAAAAGTAATGCAATACTATCAGTCACTTGTATCTCAATTTTTACATCTATTACTATCTAATCAAATTTAAGAGGGACCTTTCTGCTCTTCCTTGTTCTTGGGAATTAAGTAAGTTGGATGCTAAGGTCTAAACTGAGATCTACACGCACAAGTTTAGTCATTTCCAAAACATGGTCAGGACTACTGCACATCACAAAAGGTTGAGAAAATTTTTTTCCTCCCAAACAAGAGGCAGAGAAAGCAGCCTGGTGCCAACTTAGCCATGGCCAAATTGCTAATGCACCACTTCCTCTGCAAGTCCCAAAGGCTGTATAACATGAAACTAAGTTAAAAAGGGGGCCTATTATGGCTGATGTAATAGCTGTATGGCCCACACGGATTTTTGAGGCCAAAGCTTTGCTGTCCTCTTTGCTACTGCCCCTTAAACAGATGGCTGCCTTGTTTGATAAGATTTATAAAAAGGGCGCGGTGGCGCGCCGGGGGTGGGGGGGGGGGGTGGGAGCTCACCTGAAGTTATTTGATGGTACTATGGTGGGGGAGTGGGTGGAAGGAGGAATGGATGGATCTCGAAAACCTGGGGACCAACTCCTGTTCCATATCTCCACTCCGCAACTAATATCGATTGTTTCAAATGTTATACAATGTACTCTTAACAAAGCAGCAAGACTTTCTGGGCTCCTGAACGCAGTGGTCCCTTTGGGGCCTCCACCACCCTTCATTAGTCGGTTGTGGAAGCGCTGCGATCGTACCCAGCGTCTTCACTGCTTTTGTTCGCGTCGGGAGTGAAGAGAGTGATAACGCTCGGAGCAGGGCCCTCAACGGTCCACGACTCGGGAGGATGAGGCCTGCCTTAAGCAGCGCTGGGAGGCCAGGCAGCTCCCGGACCTTCTCCCGTCCTTACCTGCCGCGACAATGACTTTCTCCTCGTTGCTGACTCCCGTACTTGAACTTTCCCCACACCCCGTGGCCCTGGGGCAGGGCAAGTAAGGACTGAAAGCGCGCGTAGAAGGGGCTTTCTGCATCCGCTAAAATGCAGCTACATCCCAATCCCAAGCCGGGCGCCCTCCGTCGCCGTCTCCACGGTCCTACGTAAAACCCCTGAAGAACTTCCAGGAGGAGCCCTTAAAACAAGTGCAAGGACGTAGACCCCGCCGGACCTTGAGGCCTGGAGCAGACGGACTGAGCCCACCCCGACTGAGACCCCGGCCCCGGCCCGGTGCCCGCTCCGGCCAGGATCTCCGCCGACCCCATCTGGTCCCTACCTGCCAGGGCCCGCGTCGGGATCGGCTGCGCGTTTTTACGCGCCTTCTTCCCAGGCATCTCCGCAAGCAACGGGCGGGAACTGTGCTGCAGACCTCAGGGGAACTCAGTCCCCCAACCTTGGGTTGCAACCTTGGGTCTGCAGGACGCGAGCTGCGCGCGGGACTGATGGGCCAAACTCGATGGGAGCCGGCTGGACACCCGACTCAGTGGGCACCCGAGAATCTCGGGTTCTGGAGAAAGGCAAGCGCCCGCACTCACATTTTACGGGGACTTCCCAGTGACGTAGCGAAACTAGACGCCGGGCCCGCCCCTCTCCCCGCCCCTGCAGGCGGCAGTGGCCCGGGGAGCCCGCGCCTGGACTAGGCGCGTGTGGGACCCTCGCGCCACCTGGCGCGACCTCCCCGACAAGTTCCCGACCCGCAGCGGCGCCGACCCTCGGCGGGGGGTGCAGGGCGATCGGCGGGCGAGACCTCGCACAGCCCCGAAATCACTTTAACAAACGGGGGTGAGGGAGCAGGGGGAGGGGACTGAGAATCTGAAAGCACCCGAGGTGGAGTCAGCTGCGGTTGTGGCGGGGTCCAGGAGTCCGGGAAGGAGAAAGGTTTTCCTAGCGGGAAAGTTGGGGGTAGGGAGGCCAGGAGCTTCGTTCTTATCATAAATGGGCAATTGTAAACTTCTGTAAACAAACGCCGCAAAGAGTTTGGAAAAGGCAAGCTTTCAGACTCGGGGAATGTGTAGGTAGTTTCAGGCAAGTGCATTGAAGAGAACTTGAATAACAGTAGGGAAGATGACAGGGAACATGAGAGTAGTAAATAAAGTACCAGATTGAAACTTGGGAAGCTAGCCACAAACTGAAATGCTGGAGCAAGCAAACACTGTTTTGATTTGGAAGGTGTGTGTGTGTGTGTGTGT